TGTTTTCTACCTCCCTGTGGGCGGTCCTGTATTTGAAAAGACTGTAATAAAAACCAGGCTGGGTGTGCCAGCACCTCTGACCACTGCTTGATGCTCAACATGGAGCCTTGTCTCGTCTTTGGGGGGGGATTTACTGAATGCTGATAGAGACTGATTGCTAGGAGTATAAGCCGCTTGGGTGCTTTTCCTATTCGTCTGCTAGCAGCGATTCGTATGGTTCCAGTTCATGTGTATGGAGTGCTATTTTGTATCCAGTTCGGGAGTTTGGTGTTCTGCAGTAGCTGTGCCTGTATCTCTGGAAGGGGAAGATCTCCTAAATGTCTGTTAACCCCTTTTTACCCCTTTTGTGCAAAATGGTCTGTTACAGGCTCTATAAATGAGTTACTATGAAGACACTGCCTCAGTATATGTATCCACTATATTGTCTATGTATGAGTTGATCGGGAGACTCTGCCTCAGTGTGTGTTCTTTATATGCTTTGAGTTGCTGTGAAAACACAGCCTCAGTATATGTCCTCTACATGCTCTATATGTAAGGTGGTGTGGAGACATTGCTTCAGTGTATCTGTTCACTATATGCTTGATGTATTAGTGGAAACACAATATATGTGAATGATATAAGACACATCCTCTATGAGTCCACGCTAATACTGGTTCTATGTGTGGGTTGTTAGTCACAACCTCAATATATGTGAGTGGTATAATATGTGCATAAAGTTTTGTTAAAACACAGCCTCAATTTATCTCACTTATATAATCTTAATATGTGTGCAGGCATAGTGACACTGTATATAGCAGAAGTAGGCTATGTATGATTACTATTTGAACAGACTCAGTATATGTAACTGATATATCTGGGCATAAGGTGCTGTTAGAAACATCCACAATGTATGAGATTCATATAATCTGTATGCAGGTTGGTAGTTTTAGATAACCCCAATTTATACACAGCATATGTAGATTTAATATATACAAATGATCTAAGGTCTGTTTTGCGCTGAAATGTAAAACTGCCCAATTCTAGTACAAATACAAATGCACTGTTGTACTGGGTAAGTAACTATTGCCTACTGTGGGTTTTCTATTTCAGTTTTTTTTTTCTTTTTTTTTAAATGAAGTAGATAAGGAAACATACTGCTTTTGGCTTTGTATTAGATTCCCTCTCCCACAGGTGTTTCAGGATAAGCAATTAACACATTTTACCACTTCAGATAGATTGCAGGTGTTACTGAACCTGTCTGAGTGCCTCTCCCAGGAGAGAAGGAGACCTGTTTTTCCAAAATGGAGCATGGTACTGTTAACAGAATCAATGCTTTTTTGTGTGCACTCCTATGTATTTATACATGAGACCATTCTATATAAGTTTTTCTATTGCCAGGCATCCTCTCCTCTCTGTACAAGATAGGGAATGTTTTTGTTTCAATTGGTGGCAGTGTTAACCTTCAGATTTATGCTGATTACTGATGCACAGCTTAGTAGATCATACTGGTTGCAGGAGCACAAATTGGGCTATTAATTGATCTCATAAGTAGGTAACGCTGAAGCCATTACCTGATTTAAAAGCTGTTAATATTGTTTTTTCTTTCACCTGGTCATAACCTTTTATTCTTTAAATCTGAATTAATTTCCTTAAAGCATAAAATTTATATTCAGTATTCTCTTTTATCCCTTGGATACCTGAAAGTTTGGCAATACCTTTAGTATATGTCAGGGGTGGCATGCTTTTGGTTCTTAAGGAGTTAATGATCAGAAACTTCTGACAGATTCCCCTGTTGTGAAGGGGAACATTATAATTTCCTTTCTGCAATAAAGGTATTCTTTTAGGCTCATATGCTCCAGGTAACTTTGATGCTGTGTATTGCAAGTATTTTGAGGTCTTTCCAGTCCCCAGACCATTCTACCAAGTTTACTATTTCAGGTAAAATTCACCTGCTGCCTGAACAATAGAGGAAATCCCTGAACAGGTAGTTCCATTACGGACCTCTCTTCTGATATTCATGGGGATTCTTCTAGGTGTCCTTATATCTGGAATTGCAACCAATGTGTGGCTTTAAATGGTTGATTCATCCTGCATAATATAATGTAATGCAGCTTGTTGATGACAAACATTTGACTGATATGTTTTACATGGTCCCTGTACCTAGATCGGTATAAGTTATGGTCACTCCTAACATTGCATTGATTTAATACTTGTGGATTATATGTTTGGATTGGTGTTGATATCTTGCAGATATAACAAGTTGCTTATTATCACCATAGGCTCTGCCATAAGTACTTCATCACTATCTGAAGATAAGGTAAGAGTAAGTATGCGGTTGTTGTTCTCATAAGGATAACTGAATATCTTCTTCTATCCTGCTTATTATGTGTCTGTTGTCACAATGTATAATGTGCCTCTGGTTACCACCTTCCCATCAGCATCTTGCCTATTACATATCTCTTACTTATGTTGCACAACAGTCTTTAATAAATTTGATTATACAGTTTGGCATAATCTGTACTATTTACAAATGTAGGTACTGACGTGGTTGGCCTCCTTATAATTTAACCCCTTAAGACCGGAGGGCGTACTATTACGCCCTATTTTGGGCATATAATTTTTTTATTTTTTTTTACACTTGGGCATATATATTTTTTTTTTTTTTACACTTGGGCATTTAGAGCCGCCTAAAATAGGGCGTAATAGTACGCCCTCCGGTCTTTATATTATATTATATTATATACCTAGAAGAATCCCCATGAATATCAGAAGAGAGGTCTGTAATGGAACTACCTGTTCAGGGATTTCCTCTCTGCGTTATTTTTAAGGGTTCCTGAGGGATTCCTTTATAGGGTTGCTGCCCTCATATTAGCTAGCGCTTACTCTCTGTTTTTTTTTTTTTATATATATATATATATATATATATATATATATATATATATATATATATATATATATATATATATATATATATATATATATATAAATATATGTGTGTGTGATCTAAATATATATATATATATTCATTCAAATTACATGTAGACTGATATTGATTAAATATATATAATTAGTGTTATATATTCTAAAAATAAATATGTAAATACGTTAAATAAATAATTAAAAAATATATAGATGTGTTATTTCGTTCTAACTGTATTGTGATATTAATATATATTTATATCAAAATACACGTAGAACGAAATAATATATATCTATATACATAAATATATACACATATCACTATATACGTGTGTATATATACATATATTCTACATATATATTTATGTAATATTTTTACATAATTAGGTATCTTAATTAATTACAATTAGCAGGACCTGCCTGACAACCCATGCCGAAAGTAAAGGGAATTTAATTTGCTAGCACTATATTTAACCCTATAACTTGCCAAGTAGACCGCCACTAGAAGAGGAGTTAACCCTGCAATGTAATTATTGTAGTTTATGAAAACTGCAATAATTACAGCTGCAGGGCTAAGGGTATTGGGAGTTGGCACCCAAACCATTCCAATGGGCAGAAGTGGTCTGGGTGCCTGGAGCGTCCCTTTAACAAATCGGCCATTTGGCAAATAAATCTTTATAGTCCAATTAAAGTGTTTTAATTATAACTTTATTTACTATAACACCTAACCTTAAAGGAAAGCTCCAGTGCCAGGAAAACAATCCGTTTTCCTGGCACTGCAGGTACCCTCTCCCTCCCATCCCACGTAGCTGAAGGGGTAAAAACCCCTTCAGGTCACTTACCTGAGACCCCGCCGATGTCCCCTCGCGGTGGTTTCGGGTCGGCATCGCTCCTCCCAGTAATCACGTCAGCCGGTGGGCGAGACTGATCCCGCCCGCCAGGGCCGCCATCAGAAGACCTGACCAAGCACAAGGTCTGGGCCCGCCCACGCCCTACCTAGTCCGCTGACAATGATACAGGACTGAATATGGTGTGTATAGTGGAAGTGAATTAGAATGTGTGTAATGGATGTAGTGTTTGTGTGTATTGGATACTGTTTGTGCAGTGAATGCAGAGTGCGTGTTTGTGTAGCGGATGCAGTGTGTATAGTGAATGCAGAGTGTGTTTGAGTTGTGGATGTAGTGTGTGTGTGTGTG